ATTCCACAAAATGTTTTCGAAATATTAACGAAATTTCTTGATAATTTTTAGGTAATTTTATGTTAAGTCTTTAAAATTTGGAGGAATCTCATGCAGTTTACCCAGAATTCCGTGTAATTTGAAAAAAATTTCACAAAATTTTCATTAAATTCTTTCGAATTTTATTGAATTTCTTAGATATTCCTCGGAATCTCACTAAAATTCCATGTGAATCGACGAGAATTGTTCAAAATTCCACCTCAATTTTGTAAAAAGCATAATTTCCAAATGATCAATTTAAAGAGAAAAAAAAATCAAGAAAAAAAATTCATTTTTTGGTTCTGAATTTTTTTTTGAATCATGACAAGGTTAAGAAGAATTGCCAATATTTTCCCACTCTCAGAAAGAGCATTAAATTCTCTATAAATCTGTGCTAAATTGAGTGTGATAGCTCAAAGACTTTTTGAGCAATTGAGCCTCTTTGAACTTTAGTCGTAATTTAGTCCAAAAATTCAAACTCAATTTTCTCAAAAACTAAAAACCTGAAAATATTTTCCAGTACATGTTTTTTAGAGCTAAATAGGAGCTATAATTCTAGAGCTCTGTATAATTTGACAAGAATTTTTCGGAATTCCACTAAAAATTCACCGATGTTTCATGTTAAGTTTTATTGAAATTTTATGTAGTTTGACGGGAGCTGATATTTTCATGTAATTCCATGGGAATTTTGCGGATATTTCATGTAATTTCTCAGAATCTACAGAAATTCCCTAGAATTCTACTGAAATTCACATTTTTTAAAATTGTTTTTTGTCGAGAGGCGGTGGGTGCACTCATCACAATTTGTATGTCGATTCCGAAAATCGCAGGGGATTGCGGGATGCTGCGAACTTAAGTGAACACACTGTATATTGACGCCCTACCTACGACCTTTACTTGAACAAGTACAAATAAGTGGATTGTTGCGGAACTTATGGGTGGACCTCTGCGGGACGAGCGCAGCGAGTTCCGCAGCCGTCTATTCACCAATATGTTGTTCAAGTACAATACTTACTTGATTCTCTCAGTTGTGAGTTTTTCTCATTAATTTAAAAACTATACGTGTCAGGTGAATGTCTTATTTAAACAGTTCAACAGTATATTGGTGAGTAGATGGCTGCGGAACTCGCTATGCTAGTCCCGCAGAGGTCCACCCATAAGTTCCGCAACAATCCACTTATTTGTACTTGAACAGTAACTTGTTATATAAACTCAAAATTTGTAAGATTATTCACTTTTTCTCAATTGGCCTTTCAACAGGAATTAGTAATGTTACTTTACCAAATTAGTAACATAATGTGACAAGTTATTCAAGTATAAACGAGTGGATTATGCTGCGGAATTTATGAATGGACCTCTGCGGGACGAGCGCAGCGAGTTCCGCAGTCATCTACTCACCAATATACTGCTGAACTGTTCAAGTAAGACATTCACCTAAAACGTGTAGTTTTTGAATTAATAAGAAAAATTCATAACTGAGAGAATCAAGTTTAATGTACTTGAACAACATATTGGTGAATAGATGACTGCGGAACTCGCTGCGCTCGTCCCGCATAGGTGTACCCATAAGTTCCGCAATAATCCACTTATTTGTACAAGGTGTTATTCTATATATTAACACCCCACCTACAGCCTTCACCTTTACAGGTAGAAGAAAGGTGTAAATACAAAAGTTGTACAGTTTTGGCTGAATTTTTAGAAATCATGGTTATAGATATAAAATTTAAATGTCAAAAATGTGAAATTTCACATGCTCCCAAGTTTTTTCAAATGGAATGCCCTATATTTTATTCTATATTCTTGAAGAACACAATGCCCCGATTCCAAAAATATATAGTTTGTCTATATTTGATTGAGCAGTCACTCATTTATTCGGCTCCAAAAATTGGAAAAATACTATCTTACTACTGATTTTGTGAACCATTCTACTTGTACAGCTGAATGCTGCAGGTAAAATTTGAGGTACCTACTTGATTTTTCTGATAGTATTTTTAAAATGTTCAGAACCAAATATGTTGGAGATGGCTCAACCAAATATAAACAAACTATATAGTTTTGTAATCGGGAAATTGTGCTCTTCAAGAATATAGAATCAAATATAGAGTATCCCATTTGGAAAAAGCTGAAAGCATACAACTTTTTACATTTCTGACATTCAATTTCAGTTTCTGACTATGGATTCTAAAAATTTAGTCAATACTGTACAACTTTTGTATTTACACTTTTCATCTATCTGTAAAGGTAGGTGGGGTTTCAATGTATTAAAAAAAACACCCTGTACTTGAACAATAACTTATTATATCAAGCCAGAATGTGAGATTATTCACTTTTTGTGAATTTGCCTTTCAACAGCAATTAGTAATGTTATTTTACCAAACTAGTAACGTAATGTGACAAGTTATTCAAGTAGAAGCGAGTGAATTGTTGCGGAACTTATAGGTGGACCTCTGCGGGACGAGCGTAGCGAGTTCCGCAGCCATCTATTCACCAATATGTTCTTCAAGTACATTACTAACCTGGTTCGCTCAGTTGTGAATTTTTCTCATTAGTTCAAAAACTACACGTTCCAGGTGAATATTTTACTTGAAAAGTTCAACAGCATATTGGTGAGTAGATGGCTGCGGAACTCGCTGCGCTCGTCCCGCAGAGGTCCACCCATAAGTTCCGCAATAATCCACTTATCTGTACAAGGTGTCTTCTTATATAATAACACCCTTCCTACAGACTTTACTTTTACAGGTAGAAGAAAGATGTACTTAAATACAAAAGTTGTATAGTTTTGGCTGAGTTTTTAGGAACCGTGGTCAGTAAACAAAATTTGAATGTCAGAAATGTGAAATTTTGCATATTTCCAAAAATTGTAAAATTACTATCCTACTACTACTGATTCTGTGAACTATTTTACCTATATAGGTGAATGCTACAGGTAAAATTTGAGATACCTACTTAGTTTCTTTGATAGTAGATAGTGAGATGGCTCAACCAAATATAGACAAACTATATTTTACATTTCTGACATTCAATTTTTGTTCCTGACCATGGATTCTAAAAATTTAGTCAATATTGTACAAGGTGTTTGTTTATAACTGGAACACTCAGTAACTTTCTTATATTATTAAAAATGAAGGGCATGTTTAAGCTAGAAAATTTCTTGGTAAATTGCAACCTTAAGCGCTACAACGATATTTTTTTGTCGTTATAGGTTCACAGGGCAGTGTTGCCAGGTGTGGCGCATTTCAAAATTGAAATGGCGCCTCAAATTTTGGAAAATGCGCCAGACGCCCACAAGTGGCGCTTTAAAATCGTAGCTTTACAACGCCTTTACAGTGACTCAAAAAACCACAGTATCGACAATTGCCGTCCTATTTTGGATTGGTTCTATTAAATCTCATATATTTATATTGAAAATGAGCAAGAATATGGCGGCGCGGGGCCGTGGTTTACCTCTAGATTCCTATTTAAAATTAGCAAGAATATGGCGAGACCTTTAGGCTTTAAGGCCAAATTTATAGTCGTTCCTTGAGTCTTCCTTGGAGGTCGTGAGTCTAGAATGGACACATGGACATTTCCTACAACCTTAGCTACAACCTTTAGAAATATATGGGAGGTTTCACACCGGAGTAGCGTCGCAAAAATGCGACGTGGCAATATACGTCGTATATTTTAGATAGATTGCGTGCTTCCTATTCAAGTCGAACGTCGCATGCTACTTTGGTGTGAAAACCCACTTAAGGTCTGAGAAAACCTCAAAAAGCGACTATAAATTCGGCCCTAAGGGACGCCATTGTTGGAAAAAAGGTTTATTGAGTCACTGTAGTTAAAGTAGTTTGTAGTATAACTGTATTGTATTGCCTTTGCATAGCCTAATAGCCAATTTTTAAAGCTCCGACAACTTTTTATTCCTATGGCGCTTTGGTGGCGCATTTTAATGTTAAAACTGGCGCATGAAAGTTGATAATACCTGGCAACACTGTCACAGGGTGCGCCAAAAAGGTATTTTTTTTTAATGGAATGCCCTGTATATTTTTGTTATCCAAATAATATTTGATATGTTTGTGAAGCTAAATTTTTAAGAATTTCAAAAATGCTAAAATATACAGGGCGTTCCATTTGAAAAAAATTACTTTTTTGGCGCACCCTGTATACGTATGGCGACAAAAAAATCTTGTAGCAATTAAGATCGTTTCAATTTACCAGGAAATTTTTCAATTTAAACATGCCCTTTATTCTCAATAATAGAAAAGTTATTGAGTGTTTCAGTTATAAACAAACACCCTGTACAACTTTTGTATTTACACCTTTCTTCCACCTGTAAAGTGGGGTGTCAATATATATATATATAAAAAAACACCCTGTACACTTAACTTTAGGGTATACTTATAACCTTTTTTTTTTATTTGTAGCTAATTTACCATGCTTTGTCAATGAAATTTTGTTTCGGACAATAAAGCATATTTTTTGATTAGAAAAATTCACAAAAATTAACTCAAATTGAAGAAAATGCATCATACGACTTTTGAATGTTTATCTCAAAAAAACCTTTGTCAACAAAAACTGAAAATGTTTCTAAATGTACCTATTTAATGCTAAAATTACAAATCAATCTATTGGAAAATAAAAATTAATTAAACCCTATGAAGAAATAAGTAAGGGTAGTAAACAGTAACCTTGAATCATTATTGAGCCACCTGTTTTCGATGCGTAATATGTATTTCATTTTCATACAATAAACTAAAATTATTGCATAAATGTGAAATTGAAACTTGAAACTCATCGTCCTTGTTTAATTATTAACAAATAACAGGAAATAATTAACAAGTATAGAATCTGAGCGCTCATGCCCATGTATTTTTACTGTTGCTCTATAGAGGGAACAAATCAATAAAATAGAGGCCTCAGAGTTGGCGCCAAAACAGCTACCTATATAAATTATTGACAAACAAGTGGCTTTTTTTTTGCACACGTATGCATGTTTTGCTTACCGTGTTTCTTTTTTTATAAAACTATACGATGTGTTACACAGCCTTTTTAATTTTTTTCCGATTGAATTTTTTTTAAATTTTTTGGTCGCCTTATAATAATATTGTTTTAAACTCGTGATTTGGTTGTTTAATTGTTTAAGTTAACTCGTGTTGTTTTTTCATGTGTTTTGTACTTGGTTTGCGGTCCGGAACGTCGTCGGTTGCGCGACGTGTTGTACAACATTACATAATAATTGTTTTAGGGCCGACGACGTTATCGGCATTTATTTTTACCGAAAAAATATATGAAAAAAAGAACGTAAAAAGCGATCGTTATGAGTGTGGCCCGCTATTACGCGACGTGCCACATCATTTTAACGACTGACTCCTCCTGTCCCCCCGATTTCCGCCACTGGCTGGTTTTCGTGCCTGGGGACTCTGGGGAGCCGCGCAGTCACACTTTTTAAGCCTGATACACACGCATGTATATAGCTTATGTTTGAAAAGATACTTCAAAATAAATCGTTGTCACTTTCTCTCCTTTATTATACATATAGCTTAATCTAATTTGAAATCCGACGTTTTGTCTTTGGATTACCTTTTTTTAACCTTGTCAGGAAAAAGATGAGATTTTATTTTTGGATTTTCATAGAAAGATGCTGGTGTAAACCAAGTCATTTTCATTGAGTTGATACGGTGCGCCATCTATGTCAAGTCACGTCAACAATGGAAATTATATTGGTTAACTTTAAGTACGTTTACATCACAATCAGATTTAAATTTTTTTCTGGAAAACTGGAGGAAAGAAAGTTATGAAACTCTCAAGGGAAAAGGGAGAAAGTTAGGAGCTCATCATACTAAAATTTCAAAGTTTTTCAGTGAAAAATACCAAAATGGGAAATTAATAAAAATCTAAATTAAGCAAAAATGCACCCCCTTACATTTTAATTTTTTCCTGAAAAACTACTGAAGGGAAAATTATGAAACTTTCAAAAGAAAGAGAGGAAAGTAAAGAGCTCATCATACTGAAATTTCAAACTTTTCTAATGGAAAATACCAAAATAGGAAATTAATAAAAATCAACCTGCTGGAGAAAAAGAGGAAATTTAGGAGCTCATCATTTCAAAATTTCAAACTTTTCCAGTGAAAAATACCAAAATCGGAAAATTAGTGAAAATCAACTTGCAAAATCTAAATTAATTAAAAATGCACCCCCTTAAATTTTAATTTTTTTCTGGAAAACTACTGAAGGGAAAATTATGAAACTTTCAGGAGAAAGAGAGGAAAGTTAGAATACTAAAATTTCAAACTTTTCCAGTGGAAAATACCAAAATGGAAAATTAGTAAAAATCAATTTGCAAAATCTAAATGAAATGAAGATGCACCCTCTCACATTTTAATTTTTTTCTGGAAAACTAATGAAGGGAAAATTATGAAATTTTTAGGAGAAAAAGAGGAAAGTTAGGTGCTCATTATACTGAAATTTTAAACTTTTCCAGTGAAAAATACCAAAATGGGAAATTAATAAAAGTCAACCTGCAAAATCCAAATTAAGCAAAAAAGCACCCCTTTACATTTTAATTTTTTTCTGGAAAACTACTAAAGAGAAAATTATGAAACTTTCAGGAGAAAGAGAGCAAAGTTAGGAGCTCATCATACTGAAATTTCAAACTTTTCCAATGGAAAATACCAAAATAGGAAATTAATAGAAATCAACTTGCAAAATCTAAATTAAGCAAAAATGCACCCCCTTACATTTTAATTTTTTTCTGGAAAACTAGTGAAGAGAAAATTATGAAACATTGATATATCGATATATTGCGTGGGCTACGATATGGTGCGATAGTGGGTGGTATAAACTCGGAGTATATACTCGTGAGCATGAGTATGAAGTCTGAGCTTATACTCCATTTCGTAAGAATAAAAAAGATTTCGGTTTGATAAGTACATACTCCTAGTACATAGAGTAGATACTCAACATTTTATTTTGCTTGTCACCGCTCTTTCGCTTCTATATCCTATTCAAAATTCGATGTCCGCAGGTACGAGGTAAATATGGGTAAATATATCACCTTTCCCTATCAAATAGCATTGAAGGGTGATACATTTTACCTGTACCTGTGGACATCGGATTGTGAATAGATTATATCCGCAGGACTGCGGGGAAATTTGATCCACCGTCCACTTTGCTGAATTATCTTATCAGCTACTTCCGATACAACTTAGACACCGAAGTTTGGTGAACACCAACATCCTCGCCTACTCCTGCCTGAAACTTCGGGTCACCCACGTATCTTAAAAATATTTTAAATTTGTCTTTGTTGCATAAAGCACCACCTCTTCTTTCTCCAGACTCTTCACCCAAAAATTGATTTGATAACCACTCCACATTTTCTTTACCAAACCGGTACAACGTTTTAAAGTCCCGATCACACGTATTTTTTCTAGCTTTGTAAAATTTTTCCGAACGCAGGTTAAGATTGAAGAACTCTGCCATAACTCTGCCTTCTACCCACTGGCGCCGACTACATGGGGGCATTGGGGCAGGTGCACCCATGAACAACCTCTCATGGGTGCGGAGCACCCATGGGAGCTTTTGTGGGGAACGCGGAAGTACAAACGTATGTGATGGTCATTCCGTTTCGTGGGGTAATATCGGTATCATGTAACTTAAATTGAAAACTACCCAGGATGGCCAGGATGCTCCGTAGAGATTTTGGACCTCTGAGATATTTGGGGTGATCGCAGAAACGTCTAGTGAGCGGCCGCTTAAGATGACTTCGGCCAGAGAGGATCGGCTCTTGGTGTAGAGGTCCTGCGCCTTTTCGAAGAGGGATTAACGAGGACCCCGACCAGTGAAGTTCTGCCGTAGTTTGAGAGCTTTTTACGAGCCGCGGCGCCCTAAGGACCCGCGCCGGAAGGGTAATTTCTCTACCCCTTTTCCGAGATTTGACCCCGAATCGCTCGGAAGTCCAGCTTTTTAAGGCGGAATCGAATTGCTGGTCACTTCCGGTCAGGGTCGTTTGAAGAAGAGTTTCCTAATGACGTTTGCCGTTGTCGTTGGAATTGGGAATGAGGTGGCCGCGGAGGGAGGCCAGCTGCACCAGAACGTGATTGAAAATGCTGGTCATGCCTCCCGGTTCTCGATTCGGAGTTGTCACTCTCTTTTGACCGTCGGTGAGGTCAATGACCAGAAGGGGTGGTGGCATCAGTGAGGCAGGTGGGGGGTTGGTAGGTGGTGCGAGGTGCCGGGTGGCATATTCATTTTCTGCCAACGTAATAGGACCTTCGGCTGCACTCGTGTTCGTTGGAGAACAGCGTAGGCACATTATGATCAAAATGGACTAACGTTGCCAGTTTATGGAGTCCGCCTGGCGTTCGCAAAAATATTCTCTAACTTCAGTTGGAAATTGGCAGTTAGTTATTGGCACCTGTGTCAATGCAAAATGCGATAATGAATGAAAAAATACCCTTATTAGGAGCTCTTCAGATTCCTATGTTCACTATTTTGTAGAAAACATATCTACATGCATCTGTCGTTGTCCACTACTGGAAAATTATATACAAACACTAATCTGCGATTATAAAAAACGTTCATGTTGGTAATGTAGTAAATACCTTGACCACTACCACTAAAGAATTATGTATGAAATTGCAACCAATGATGTGAAATTTTCTGCGCAAACATTTGAGCCACTGATCATTTAGAAAATGATCCAGGTGGTTTTTATTCTGCTATAAAAACATTTCCGCATAACTGGGAAGTTCATGGTGGAAGTACTGGATCTTCAATGTCAAGACTTTATACTTCCTTTAAGTCCTTCAAATATAGTATATAAGCGGTAGAAACAGAAAATATACACATCCAGAAAAGTGAATAAAATTGCTGTTTAACCAACTTCTGTTGCAAGAAGAAAAACTCTAATGAGTGGACGCAGGAAGAAAAGTAGGGTCAGTGCCTGGTTAGACGCAAAACCAAAGTTCCTCTTGCACTACAGGCATGTGTTGAAAAAATTGTTGGTTATTGGTCTTTTTATAAGCATTTGTTATAAAAATATTGGTTGAGGGGTTAATCAATTAGTATAAATTCTTATCATCCCTTTCTTCATATAAAAAACATTTATCGGACCTTATTAGGTACCAATAAAATGCTTATATACAGTCACATGAAGTGCCAACGTATGGTTATGATGCTCATATTCAATGCAAACGCTTCATGGCGCAGGGCACGAATCGAGCCAAACATCAGTTACATTGGCAAAAAATGAATGTGCTGCCGGGTGGTCATCTATGAATGTCATTTGGGTGCCAGATGGATTGGACTATTAGAGTCATCCCCGGGAGATTTTGGTCTCGGTCTCTTCTGGGTGGAGATTGTGGGGAGTTCAGGACGCACAACTCTTGTTCTTTGTCCTGCCTGGGCCCTTATCCTTCGCTACAGGCGTGCTAGGTACAGGCGTTCAGGGGTGGTTGCGCTGGTGACTGGTGCGCTATCGTCTCCTAAGATGGAGTTCGATGGGGTCCAGAAGACCGAATCGTCAGGGAACGAGGGTGGGTCGTCCTGGGTCGATCTGAGGGTGAATTTTTGATGGACCAGGAGTTTGCGAGTAATATCATGTAATTTAAATTTACATAGTTTGCGCCTTCAGCAACTTTCCCCCTCCCCCTATAAACAAATTTATAAAGTTATTATCCTGCACCCGGCACCCATGTGAACTTTCAAAAGTCGGCGCCTCTGCTTCTACCGAGAGAAAATCGGTCCTGAAATAACTTTAAGCAGAAAGTTGAGTATACTGCATAGCAGACTCTAAAACTATGGAGTAGATTCTCCTGCCAAAGAGTATAAACAGTTTTTTATTCATACCAGAAGTGAGAATCTACTCATACCAAATTATACATAGGAGTACCTACTCAAGCGAAATATCTGCTCGTAGTTTTTATTCATACCACGTGGAGTATTTACTCTAAAATGTATCTATATGGTCTTGAGTAGCAGCTCACCTCTAAGCGACTTAGTACTGCGCAGAGTGCAACTCAAGACCATATAGATACATTTGAGGGCTACTTTGATGTTCCGCACCCCACGAATTACGATTTGCTGAAAGTCATGAAGAGAATGTTCGATGATTTAAAACAGCCAATCACATTCAATGGCGATATGGTGGAGGAGATGAAAGGAACTATGCAGGCACTTCTTGATGGAAATAAAATGATTAAAAAGGAACAGGCACATCTTAGGTTGAGGATAGTAGAGCTGGAAAGTGAAATTACTCGCATTGAAAGCTCTACAAAAGATGAGCTCAGTGAGAGGAGCAAAAATGTTATAATTTTTGGGATGATAATTGCAAGGCTGATGTCATGAAAACATTTGACGCACTAGATGTCAATGTATCTGAAAATGACTTCACAATCAAAGTGTGCCTTGCCCATTCAAAATATTCGAAAACCATTGCTCGTTTCTTTCTCGGATCAGAGCCTGAGGGATAATGTCCTAAAAAAACGCAAATCAACTCGTCTTGATACAGATCTCTGCAGAATTACTTCTGAAACAAAAAGAAACATTTACGTCAATCCGGATCTGACCAAGCATGCTCGTGATCTCTTTCTGAAGGCCAAAGAATTAAAGGGGCATGGCTTCAAGCTTCAAGTATGTGTGGTGCAAGGACGAAAATGTGTTAGCCAGGAAAAACGATGGAGACCCGGTTGTTAGAATTATCACTTCAGCACAGATTGATAGCTTAAAAATGAACATGTAACACTAACTTTTTAATCCCAAAAATTGCATAATACGATTAAGCTGTTGATGATAGCTCGGTGAACATTGATGGTTTTAGGCTGGTTAGACGTGATCGTATGTTGGGTCGTGGAGGAGGAGTTCTTTTGTACATACGCAACTCAATTAAATTTTCAATCCTAAATAATGCTAAGTCTAGTTATGCTGAACAGGTAAACAGGTATGGATCGAATTTAAAATTAACCTATTAAAAAATGTTGTGGGCGTCGTATATAAGCCTCCTGGCACCAACAATGTGAATGAATTTTTGGAAGAATTTGAATGGAATGTCTCCCAAAATGTGCTGATGTATTCAAATCTCGTGTGCTTGGGCGACTTCAACATTGATGTTTTCAATCTTGATTCTGTGTATTCTCAACAATTTCTTTCCTTGCTGAATGCGTATAGCTTAACACGAGTCATAAACGAGCCAACCAGGCGGAGTCTTACCAGCGCAACTGTCATAGATTTAATTTTGTGCTCTATAAAGAATCTTCTGTCAAGTAGTAGTGTCGATACCTCTTTCGATGCATCTTATCACTTCCTTATTAAGTGTCAGTTGCGTTTGAAGGTCTCCAAACCTAAACCTTCCTTTATATCTTATAGAGATTTACGACATTTTGATCGCGAAGCGTTTTATGCTGATCTCCTTAATATACCTCTTCATAATATCTTTTATCTGCAGAATGTCGATGAAAAGCTGGAAACATTCAATAAATACATTTTAGGCTTGTTTGATAGGCATGCCCCCATTAGAAATGCCCGGGTAACAAAAAAAAAGACACCCTGGATTTCCCCCAATATAAGGCTCACTATGAAGCTACGGAACAATGCCCTATCTAAATTTAAGCAACGTAACACGCCAGAAAACTGGGAAAACTATCGACGGCTTCGTAATCAAGTCACAATCGCGATTCAAACTGAGAAAAAAAACTACCTTGAAACCAATTTGAATATAGGCAATCCCAAAAAAGGATCCTATATCCATTCCTGAACATCTTGGTAATGTGGATGACATAAATCAATTTTTTATAAATGCTGCTTCTTCATCAACCCCTGATCCAGCTACGTCACTCTTCTATCGCGAAAACATGATGTCGGCTCTTTTGAGTTTAGACTTGCCACCCCTGAGGAGGTTCACACAGCCTTTTTTTCAATCAAGTCATTGGCTGTCGGTACTGATGGCATTGGACTGTCCATGCTGTGTCTCTGTTGCCCTCACATCCTTCCCTTTATTGTACACATTGTTAACTCATGCATAGAGACTTCATTCTTTCCAAATGTCTGGAAAAGTTCTTTTCTGCTTCCGATCCCTAAGGTTCCCGTCCCTGAGGAGTTGAAGGATCTTAAGACCCATAAGCATTCTGCCAACACTTTCGAAGGTCCTGGAAAGAGTATTGGAGAGCCAGATTCGTTACTTCATCCAAACTCATCAGTTGCTACCTTCTGTTCAATCTGGCTTTCGTAAAGACTACAGTTGCGCAACAGCACTTCTAAAGGTTATTGACGATATTCTTGAGGCGGCTGACTCTGGTGAACTCACTGCTTTGATCTTGCTGTACTATTTGAAGGCTTATGATCGACTGGACCATGATCTTTTCTTGGCAATTCTAATCTTGGCTTTGAAAAAAACGCCTGCCAACTTATTGAAAGTTACCTTTCTAAAAGAACACAGTCGATGAAGGTCGGCCCTAGCGTGTCGGGATCTTTCGATGTTGCACGTGGTGTTCCTCAAGGATTGATTTTGGGGCCTTTATTTTTTACTTTGTACACCTCACAACTAACTAACAGCTTGAGGCACGCCAATGTGCACCTGTACGCAGACGATATCCAACTTTATATGTCATTTCGTCCAGAAAACATTTTTGAAGCCAACGATAAACTAAATGCGGACCTAGACCGGCTACTGAGGATCTCAATCAATCAATCACTGCTTGCTGCTTAATCCTAAAAAGTGTCAAGTTTTGCTCTTTGGACGTGCGCAAAGTCGATCTCAATGTCAGGACATGCTTTGAATCAGCCTTGATGGCTTTGAGTTGCTCAGCGGCAGCTAGAAACCTTGGACTTTTGCTTGACGTTAACCTTAGGTTTACACATAGGCGTATCCAGGGGGGAGGCTGCCGGGCTGCAGCCCCCCCCCCCCCCCAAGGCAAGTCTAAACTTTTTTTTTTCAGCGTATTTTATGTGACATGTACATTTTTTTGTATAAAAAAAATAGAAGTTAAATTCATTTCTTTCTATAATAAGATTTTTCTATGGCGGGCGCCGGGCTTAATCTTAATTATCCTGCTTGTCCGAAATATGTACTTCCTTTCTTAGGGGCTCGATTCTCGTTTCAGAGAGTAAAGCAGTAGAGCTCCTCGATAGAACGCATGTTTTGTCCTTGCCAACGTAATCGAAAAGTAAACGAGAACGATAAAGACGAAACATTTGTTCTCTCGGGGATCTCTACTCCCTGCCCTGAGACGAGAATCGAACCCCAGAGACGGGACTCTTTAACAAATAGAGATATTTTCTCTATCTCTGATGTGGCGTTTCTTTCGATTTCGGATACAGGAGAAGAAGACAGCAAGTGTTTTAGCGGTAGGGGTAACGATCATTATCCGGTACAAAGTGCCAGCTCAGGGTATCTATTCTTGAAACGAAGGACCAGCGTTCTCGTGAGAACGATTTCTCTGTCTTTCTCAATGACATGCAAATGATAATATCATATGATTCAAGCTACGTTTACATTCAATTCCAATTCAAATTGCAATTGGAATTACTTGACAGTTGAACGACTGGCCGTTTACATTGAAATTTGTGCGGGAAAAATTGTACTTTGTACTTGACCATAACAAAACATTGAACCTAACCTTCAAATTTGTAATTTCGAATTTTTTCTTGTCCATGGCAAGCTGCTTGCACCAATTTGAATTGGAAGTGGGCGTGACCTTGAAAATAATTTGCAAATGACGACAGGACAGTTTAGACATTAGACAAGCTCCAAAATTTCACTTCTAATTCAAATTGGAATTGAATGTAAACGTAGTTTAACACAGACGCAAAAGCTATTCTCATGAGAATGTTGCTCCCCTGTTTCAAGAATAAGAGCCCAAGAGAGAAGGTGCTCCGTGAACAAAATTTCTCCTCCTTACTAAAAAAAAAAGCGAATAAATTGCCCGATGCGAAAAATTTATCCGTCCTGCAAAAAAAAAAAATGGCGCGTAACATTTGAGTATGTTACAGGTGAATTCCTGACAAAAATAGGCAATTTTCACATTTTTAAACTATTCTGTTAGTACTTTATCAAACGAATTTTCAAACTGCTGCGAAAAGGCCGGATAGGAAAGGGACGTCACTTTCCCAAACATGCGAGGATGCCGAAGTTCTCATTAGTAAACCATTCCAAAATATGGCTGATAAAAAATCTGGCTACCTAGTAACATGATCCTAAAATATTTCGTCATTTCTAATGTGGCAACATGCGCATGAATGCTTTAGTCAATGAGAGGCACGTGAAAACGGACTATTGTGCGCAGCTTTTTTTTTTTTTTTTTGGTCAACACTTTTTGTTAACAGAGCCCCCCCCAAACCAAAATCCTGGATACGCCAATGGGTTTACAGTACATATTAATAATTGTATAAGAAAGCCATTCGCTAAGCTGAAGGTCATTTTCAATGAGAGACGCCTCTTGAATGCTAATCTCAGGAATTCGTTATGTGACAGTCTGGTTCTATCACAATTCACATTTTGTGATGCTCTGTACGGCCCATGTCTGCTCGAAAGGGATGCCAGACGTATCCAACTGTTTCAGAATTGCTGCGTGCGTTTGGTAGGTGGCATAAGGAAGTATGACAGAGGGGTGAGTGATAAGATGAGGGAAATAGGGTGGTTCAGCATGAGTGAGAGGAGACTGCTCCATAGCTTAGTAATGTACAACAAAATAATTTTTAAAAAATGTCCGGATTATTTATATCAGAAAATAAAATTTAGATAACCATCACTCCTCCTCTACACAAAACAGCTCTATATGAAAGTTCATTCACTTATCAAATCTCGCTACAGTACAATAAAGTTCCTGTTAACTTGAAATCTGCTCCCACCCAATTTTTCAAAAATGCAATAGGTCATTTGATTAAACAAATTAACGCTGCACCTTAGTCTATCCAGCCTTTCCAATTTTTTCCAATTTCTTTTTCCAAATTTATTTTTTCTATTCATTCGTATCGGTTAGGTTTAAGTTATTGTATTAGGTTAAGTGAGGAAGCCTAGCTTCAACTTCGCCTTTTGTAATTTTATCTTAAGATTGCAATAAAGACATTATTATTATTATTATTTAGCAGAAAAAGAGGAAATTTAGGAGCTCATCATTTTAAAATTTCATACTTTTCCAGTGAAAAATACCAAAATCAGAAATTAGTGAAAATCAACTTGCAAAATCTAAATTAACCAAAAATGCACCCCCTTAAATTTTAATTTTTTTCTGGAAAACTACTGAAGGGAAAATTATGAAACTTTCACGAAAAAGAGAGGAAAGTTAAAAGCTCATCATACTGAAATTTCAAAGTTTTCCAGTGAAAAATACCAAAATGGGAAATTAAGCAAAAATGCACTCCCTTACATTTTAATTTTTTTCTGGAAAACTACTAAAGGGAAAATTATGAAACTTTCAGGAGAAAGAGAGGAAACTTAGAATACTAAAATTTCATACTTTTCCAGTGGAAAATACCAAAATAGAAAATTAGTGAAAATCAATTTGCAAAATCTTAATTAAGCAAAAATGCACCCCCTTACATTTTATTTTTTTTCTGGAAAACTAATGAAGGGAAAATTATGAAATTTTTAGGAGAAAAAGAGGAAAGTTAGGTGCTCATTATATTAAAATTTCAAACTTTTTCAACAAGTTTACGTATTACAGTTAAGTGTGTAGCCAACTTAACATTTAACGGTGAATGGTGTGAGATTCTGCGTCCTCGACCAATTTCACAGGTCGTTTTTACGAGGACGTCGGCGTCTTGTATGGATTATTAGCGGTCGAAACTAGAGACATCTGTTGTTCGATTCAGATTGCACGAAATTTATCACAGGAGAATTATTTTACTTCTTTTTCATCAAAATATCAAGAAAATTTGACTAAAAATTTACTCCAACAAGAAAAAAGGAGTGTAGAAAATTGTATTTCAACTACATTTTCTGCAGTCTTAACTTTGACCTAAAAATTTTTTCAGGAAAAAGACTCCTATGGCAATGAAGTATCCAGATTAGCCAGACCATTACCAGTAGAATATCTTTTGGTCGACGTTCCAGCTTCAACCCCTGTCACCCCTACCTACAGCTTCAATCCGGACTCAACCAAACAACCCTTCCCAGTAGAAAATCGCCTTGTCGACGGCCACATACAGGTAAAGACAATTTACATTGAAAACCTTTATTTAAAAATTCCTATAGGATTTCAACGCTTTGGCCAACTATTTGCAACAATTCTCCTTTGACCAATCGGACGAATTTTATGAAGCAATTTCGGATTTCCATTTGCTAATTTATATTGCTACAATGGATATGTTGCCAATGCGCGACGACCTCGGTCCTTTGCTGGAAGCTTTGAAAAACAAAGACCGCGAGGCAGCTGTCCAGTGGTCCAGATCCGAACAGTGGGCAACATTGGAACAGTTGATTGTTGCCAGTTCACCACCAACATCCAGGTATGTCCATACTTTGTTGTGATAGTTGATAAAGTTTTCCTTAAGTTGCAATCCCAGGATTCCTCCTTATCTGATAATTTCTTTCATCAAAAAGCTGGTGCAAACAAGGTTTCTTCTTGTTGCAAAACTGACAATTTTTTTTTAGGCCAGGAAGTGTAGCAGGTGGTACTGTAGGAAGTTCAACGACGCCCCGTGGGGGGCCGATTTGGACTTGTTCTTTTTGCACGTTTATCAACGATGCCGAAGTCCAAAATTGTGCCATGTGCAATTTGCCCAGGGCTCGGACATAAGTCTAGACAATTATTATTGATTTCGGAGCTAGTTTATGTACGATTTTTTTTGAGTTTATGTAGATGCACAACTAACGCTGAGGTTTTTCAGTTTGATCAGTTCAATCAGTTATTATTGTAAATAATACCTAATAATAATTAATTATTGCAATTAGTGTAGATATAAGGCAATTTAATTTAACTTATAATTATTATTATGTTATCGCATGGTGGAGTGAATAAATTTTTAAACTTTCCTTTTATTATTTTCATGTATTAAAACGCAACATCCTTTCCTTCTGGATTAATTTTAATCGTTACAAAATTATGCGTAATATACAAAACAGAGCGCTTTTTTAAAATAATCGTACAACTTTTTCAATATGTACAAAAGCTTCACTAAGAAGTACTTAAAAGCCTCAAAAATATTGACACAATCCATTTAATATTAACATCAAATAATGTTACAAAGAAAACAAGATATAAAAATAGAAAATTTAAAGTGCCAAGTAGATTTGGCACTTAAATTTTGGGTACTTGATAACCTCAATTACCAAAATTGAAGTTTATTTAAATTATTTTCATAGATATGTTATACATATTAAAACAAAATTAAACTAAAATGCCCCTAAGAACCAGAAAAAATTGATTTAAACAATCCACTCCCTAATCGACGTCACTGGTTTGGGTCAGCGGCGGATACTCTTGGTCGTCAGCGAACTGGAAAGCGTCCTTTGGTGGTACTTCGGTAGCTTGCGCCATCTCTCGCAGTTTGTCGGATTCTAAAATGTATTTGTTAGAATAATGTTACGGCAATTATTGTTAAATATTTGAATTGCCAAATTGAATTTAGGAATTTTTCACCTGTGAGTGGTTAGTTTGACTAAGGGCCGATTTAAACTGTCGGATAAAAACGCAATCTGTAATCCCATTGAATCATAGAACGGTAAATTTATCTTGTAGATAGTTACCAGCAAGTTTATCTGAAGATGACTGAACCTGATTTTAATGTTGTGATTTTTATTCAAGAAAAGAAATTCATTGTCTGTTTTCAAGTCAAATAAAATTTTGTTCGCATTCGTATTTTTCCAATCTACAGTTTTTTTTGATTCAATTTGTTTTGTTGTTCCTTCCTGTATTGTCTCTCTTCATCTTTGTCGAACACATTATTTTCTTAATAAATTTTGTCTTTGTCAAACTCATTATTTTATGAGAAGTATTTGATATTTTCATCGTTTTTATTTAAAATATTACTTACGGAGCTAAATTAAGCAAATCCTCTTACATTTTAATTTATTTTTGGAAAACTAGTGAAGGGAAAATTATGAAACTTTCAGGAGAAAGAGAGGAAAGTTAGGAGCTCATTATACTAAAATTTCAAAGTTTTCCAATGGAAAATACTAAAATAGGAAATTAGTGAAAATCAACTTGCAAAATCTAAATTAAGCAAAAATGCATCCCCTTACTTTTTATTTTTTCTGGGAAATTACTGAAGGGAAAATTATGAAACTTTCAGGAGAAAGAGAGGAAAGTTAGGAGCTCATTATACTAAAGTTTCAAAGTTTTCCAATGGAAAATACCAAAATAGGAAATTAGTGAAAATCAACTTGCAAAATCTAAATTAAGCAAAAATGCACCCCCTTACATTTTATTTTTTTTCTGGAAAACTACTGAAGGGAAAATTATGAGATTTTCAGGAGAAAAAGAGGAAAACAAGGAGCTTATCGTATTAAAATTTCAAACTTTTCAGTGAAAAATAGAGTGACAATACAGGTTTTTTAGAGCTTAATATGAGCTACAATTCCTGGAAACTTTTATTAAATATTAACAACTTCTTGTAATCTTCATCGTATTGTTACTGACTCCATTTTGAGTGCTGGAAGTTTTCGCTCTAAACGACATTTAGAGAAAAATGTGTTTGAACCATCACTGTCCAAATGTTGAGTCTACAGTTTAAGTACAGTATCTACAGGAAACTGTAAGTTACTGTTAAGCATCAATCCATTATCAATGCAGGATTAACATCAGACTTTACAAAGAAACTATCGACTTACAAGTGTCACCCAATCCTAAATCAGGCAAAACTAAATATAAAACAATAATTGTCAAAATTATGATGAGGATGATTCAATGAGAGAAAGAGTATTTTTGTGACCATATATGTATGTATATAAAAAAAAGGCATTTGAAAATTAAAAACAATTTGGTTAGTGTTAAGCTCTACAAACAAAGTGAAAGGAAAATTAACTATTTTAAATGGTTAGAAATAAATACTGACCAGTACCTGACATTCGGCCCGAGGGGTTCCCCTTCACGATGCCAGCGTAGCTACCTAGAAGGCCTTGCATAACAAAGAAAATCATTTTTTTTTTTCGATTGGATAAAAAGGATCAGCCTACTATGGGACAAGGGTTCAGGAATTGAAAAAACAAAGCAAACAAAACTGTCGGCATTAATTTGAAAAAAAAGAGTATCCGATTAGTTGCAGATACTCGAGCATTTTCAAATGCCTTTTGCTTTAGCAAGAACTTTTTTATAAAACCTAAAACACACAATTGTAATTTTTTTTTTTTAGCCATTACCTGCCCCTGGTGCTTCGCTTGAAGGCGAATCTTTATCAGTTTTGGTTTCACCGTCAGTGTGATTAGAGCCTAAATCTTCCAGCTGGAACTTTTTGTACAATTGCAAATCTCCTCCTTCATTCGAATCAAAATTATATATGTACAAAACCCCGTCTTCGGTTGCTACTAATAACCTCAAACCATCTTGAATGCTACAACAATTTTTCATAATGTTTTTGCTTGAAATTATTTAATACTCACAAGACTATAGATATGACATTTTTGACTCCGGCAAAAGGCAAATAGGCAGAAGCAAAGGCCCTGCCTTGAGTAAATACGTCTGTAACTTGTGTAGGCAAATATGTGGACAAATATCCCATCCAGCCACTTTCGTCTACACTTTTTCTAGGACTAAATCAATTACAATAAGAAGCAATAATCAACTAGTAAAATACTTTTACCTATCTTTTGGTTCCTCTAGCTTAAAAACGTGTATAGTTTCAGTATTGCTACTGCAAGACAAAAATTGCCCGCACATGCTAAAAGACAAACAACTTATGGAAACGCAACGTTTAACGCCTCTACGAAACTCAAAAAGCTTGGTACCATCAGTAACTGAAAAAACCCTTATTACTGTGCCCTTTTCTGAGGCAGTTGCAACCCTTAAACCATTTGGGCTAAAAGCCAAAGCGGCCAAAGGACTATCGTGTGCGTGAATCATTATTTTTGCATTCTGAAACAATAATAATAATAATAATAATAATGTGATTTGTGTTTGTGGGTAGTAGTACCAGGTTCATGGCATCAAAGATTTGTACTTCCCCTACTGACGAGGAACCTGGATAGCCCAAGTAACAATTTTCGCTGTTTGAGCTCAAAGCGCACAAGCCTGTAGGATTAGCGGGAGTGTCTCGGATTGTGTGCAAAACTCTCATGTCTCTGATGTTGTGAATGTAGAGGCTTTCTTCTAGGCAAACAACTAGACGAGCTCTGGAATTTGAAAATTGTTATAATAAGGCCTAACTTATAAACAAAATTGTTATTGCTATTACTAATAAATCACTACAACAATAATTACTTACCTGTTAAGTTTAACTCCAAGTATAGTATTCGAATAAGAATAATTACAGATTTCTGTCCCTTTTTTGAAATGGCAAACTTTCAGCTTTCGTGGGGCGGCCAGGGAGACGACGGCCACCAAACTGCTGCTAAAAAGCCTCTCGACAATGCAGGAATCTTCGGTCGCATTGCTGTAGATTTGTTCCAGATTGTCGACCGAGGCTAGGGAGAATAATTTGTAGCCGGACTTGCCTCCAACTGCTAGAGATCTGGAATAATAGAGTTAGATTAGGATTTTTAACAAACTCTCTCTCATTTGATCATTCTAGAGTTAAAATTGAACTCAATTCAACTGGGAAAGCGTGAACATTTTATTTCAGGCTCTTGTAGAGCCATATTTGAGCTGAAATCTGATTAAGCTAAACTTTAACAAAAAAGAAAAAAAGATTGAAATTCTCAAAATTGCCTCTTCTAAAGCTGAATTTTGAAATTAAAATTAATATTAGGTTTTTTTTAGAGCAGAGATTCAATTAGACAAGCATGAAAGTTTTATTTCTGACTTTTTTGGAGTCAAAATTGAGCTAAACCAGTTCGAAAAGTACAAAAACACTCTTAACCATTCTGGAGTTAAAATTCAACAAGAAAACATTGAAAATCCCAAGGGACAAACCACCTAGAAATTCTTTGTCAAAATTATGGGAAACTTGAAAAAATTTATAGAAAATTGGAGAAATCTATGAGAAATTAGAGGAATTTATTGGTTTTAACACTGAGCGTAAATCTATGAAAAAAGGCACTCAGAAAAATTGAAAAATTGATAAATCACCCCAAATTGCTTAACACGATTTTATCTCAGGAACTATAAGTGCAAATGAGCTGAAATTTTCAGTGATTGTAGTCCTTTTATTGAGATAAGATTCAGTGAAAATTTCAGCTTTCTATCTATAATAGAAAAAAAGTAATGACCTTTCAAAGTTTTCCAAAATCTAAATTACAAGTTAGGTAGGTACCTTTTTATCAAAACGATGAAATTTCAAATTTTTTTTGTCGAGATTTTGTACCCTAATGGTCAATCAACATCCCCCAAACTCCATACACTAAATTATTCTCAGATTTGTAGCCGAAATCTATGAAAAAATGCACTCAGAAAAATTGAAAAATTGATAAATCACCCCAATTTGCTTAACACAATTTTATCTCAGGAACTATAAGTGCAAATGAGTTGAAATTTTCAGGGGTTTTTAAGCTTAAAGGGATTTTTATAAAATTTGAAAATTAATGTTGATTGACCCTATTTTATTTCAGTTTATGTAAACAGGGTGTGTAGTAGGTTAATAGAGATTTTGGAAACCAACTGATTGACTTTTTCTTCGACTTTTTTAAACTTGGAATAGCAATGGATATACAGGGCAAAAAAAGTGTGTTTTATAATAATTATTTATGCATGCATACAAGGGAATTATGAGGGTGTTAATACCCCAGGGCAAAGTTTGTGTCCCGAGGGCCTTCGGCCCGAGGGACACCAATTGTCCGTGGGTATTAACACCTGATAATTCCCGTGGTACATAGATAATTTTATTTCCTACTGAATTTACTGTATTTTGTCCTTTTTTATAAAGGAATAAACCATAAACCAAAATTTCAATTTTTTGTCAAAGTTTCACCTATTCAAGGTAAAAGCGGGAGTTATGGAAATCCTTAACTCCCTCGGGAGTTATGAAATCCTTAACTCCCTTGGGAGTTAAGACCCTGTTTATGATTATCGTAACCAAGGTATTATATGGTTATAATAGTTCAGTAGAAAATAAAATACTTTATTTTCTACTTTACTATTATAGATTCATAATACCTAGGAAACGAAATACGTTAACACACCTATAACAACCTGATCCATAATGCCCGCTTTTGCGGGCGTTATGATCTATAACGCCCGCTTATAATACTCTAAGGTATTTTTGTTGTTGTTGTTCTATTAATTTGCACTTTACCCTAGGCAGCCACTAAATGTCTGACCGAAAATAATTTTCGGTCTAGCCAGGATTCGAACCCGGTCTACCATCAACGTTTCCCATGTAGTTCAGCGCGTTAACCCACAGGACCACCACCGTTGCCTTGCTTTATGAGATGTTTATAGATATATTAATTTATTTCCTTTCTATGTACAGGTTGCAGGTACAGGTACATGTCAAAATACAAAACAATATTCTGTCACACAAGCAGTGGCGGATTTACGATTTATGGGTCCCTACGCTAGATAATTTTTGGGGCCCTTACCCCCTACCCCCTACTTAGTAGAACAAACATTTTAATTTTAGAATTTATTGATAAATTAAAACAAAATCGAATCGAAGTTCTAAAATTAAAACAGAAAAAATTCATAACAGTAAAAAAACTAAAAACTAGGTAAGAAGTATAGTCCGACAAATACCATTTTAAAGTCACGTGATACTGGTGGCAAAAAACGTATGTCCATTGATTATGTCGTTGATATCACCTACAAAAAGCTACTGGAGGTTAATTACTATTGAATTTCAATATATATTCCCACTAGCATTTCACAAACGCATTTCTGAAGTATTATTGACCAATCAGAGGGCAATTTTAATACTTGCAATTGTTACGAGACTCACTTTTGTCGCATCTGCTGTCTGTTGTAATACATTCTGAACTTAAACTGGGTACCCGTTTTCTATTTGCTTCTTTTCGAGTTGGAAAAAGGTTAATATAGTCAAAATTATTAGCTGTGTTTGTTCGTTGTATTATTTTCGAAAATAACTTTGACGAACTAAATGACGAAAGTGATGGATTCTATTTCAGGTAAGAATATATACAGGCCTCCAGGTTTTGCTAACATTAACTATTTTTATGAAGAATTCGAAAGTAATATTTCAAGTTGTTTACTAACCTGTGAAAACTTCATTTGTTTGGGCGATTTCAATATTAATTTATTAAACCTGGACTGTCCACAGTCTCAGAATTTTATGTCCATAATTCATGCATTTGGTATCAAGCAGATTCTTAATGAACCAATTAGGCTCTTTAATGATTCTGCATCTCTTTTAAATCTTTTATTGTGCTCAAATACAAACATTTTATGTGATAGCGGCGTTGATACTACATTTCATGCATCTGACCATTTACCCATATGGTGCAGGTTAAAACTGCTCGTTTCTAAGCCCAAACCTTTTTTCGTTACATATAGAAATTTCCGCAATTTTGACCAAGACCGATTCTATGAAGAACTTCTACAAATCCCGTTAGATAATATTTTTTATGTCAATGGCGTTAATGAAAAACTAAATATATTCAATGCTTATATTCTCAGTCTTTTTGACGCAAAGGCGCCTTTAAAAACCTCTAGAATCACAAAAAAAAGGGCTCCTTGGATCACAGAAAATATAAGATTTTTTATGCATATTCGTAACAAAGCCCTATCCAAATACAAAAAACAAAATAACGCTAACAACTGGGAAAACTATAGGCAGCTTCGAAATTAAGTAACTATTGCTGTTCAAAACGAAAAAAAAGTCATATCTTGAGCAAAATTTTCGTGCAAATAACCCGAAAAACAACTGGAGGCTTTTAAAAAAATTAGATATAACTGCCTCAAATCGCAAAGTTGTACCCAAAAATCTTGGAACTATAGAAGAAATTAATGAATTCTCCATCAACATAGCCTCATCATCACCACCATGTTTGGAAACCTTAAACTTCTATTCAAGTCATAGAAAAGTGGATGTTGGTGCATTCAATTTTAGAATGGCAACAGATGCTGAGGTATTCGCCGCTCTTTGTTCCATTAAGTCAAAGGCGACTGGTGTGGACGGAATCGGTTTGCGAATGACACATTTTTGTTGTCCTTATATTGTTCCATTTCTTGTTCACCTGGTTAATTGTTGCATTGAGACATCAGTTTTTCCGGATGCCTGGAAGAAGTCCTACTTGATTCCTATACCAAAAGTGGCCTCACCTACGGAACTAAAGGATCTGCGACCTATAAGCATTCTGCCGACACTTTCGAAGGTGCTTGAGAGAGTCATGGAGAGTCAAATGCGTGAGTATGCTGAGCGTTACCAGCTACTTCCACCGTATCAGTCTGGCTTTCGTAAGGGTCATAGCTGCGCTACATCACTTTTAAAAGTGACAGATGATATTTTTCAGGCGGCTGATCGGGGTGAGCTCACTGCATTGGTTTTATTAGATTACTCCAAAGCATTTGATAGATTAAATCACAACATGTTTCTGGCTTTATTGCATTACCTGGGTTTTGGCGCGAGGGCACGTGATCTTATCAAAAACTATCTTAGTGGCAGAACACAGTCGGTCAAGCTTGATGAAGGTGTGTCAGTCGAAAGAAATATTGTCAATGGAGTCCCACAGGGATCCATTCTTGGACCCTTATTCTTTACTTTATATACAGCACAGTTAACAACTAAGCTGAGGCATTCCTCGGTACATCTATATGCAGATGATACGCAGGTATACCTATCATTTAAACCTGAAAATATTCAAGCAGCTAGTGAAACGTTGAGGAGTGAACTTGACCTTCTCTCTGAGGAATCTAAAAAACATTGTCTAGAAATGAACCCAAAAAAATGTCAGGTGCTTCTCTTCGGGCGAATCCAAAGTAGGGATCGATTCGAAGGTCTTCTTAACATAAGTTTAAATAATGAAATTTTAAAGTGCACGGCAACTGCCAGAAATTTGGGTTTATTAATTGATATTAACTTGAGATTCACAGATCATATTGGTAGTTGCATTAGAAAGGCCTTCGCCAACCTAAAACTTATTTTTCATCAGCGTCTTATACTAAATGAAAATCTAAAAAAAACCTTATGTGATAGTCTGGTTTTGTCTCAGTTTAATTTCTGTGACGTTATATATGATCGTTGTCTTCTGGAACGAGATGCAAAGAGGATTCAGTTAATCCAGAACTGCTGTGTGCGGTTGATTGGTGGTATACGCAAGTATGATAGAGGGGTACATGCCAAAATGAGGGAGATTGCATGGCTAAATATGAGTGAAAGGAGATTTTTTCACAGTTTGGTTTTATTTAACAACATTATTTTAAAAAAACAGCCTAATTACTTGTATCAAAAAATTAAATTCAGATATGATCTTGATGCTCTTGATCTAAGACATAAATACACAATAATGGGGATATTTAGTGTTTCTTTTTTATTTTTTTTTCTAATTCTAGAACACAAACTAAGTCTAATAGCACTATTTTGGGGAACATTTGAGTTATCGTTAATTTTTAATAAAAAATATAAATTCAGCAGCATTTCAAACGCCGCAGAAAACCCGCCGAATATGACGTCAGTTCCTACAACTAGCAAAAATTACAGTGACTAAATAAACCTACAGTTGCGACAATTGCTGTCCTATTTTTGATTGGTTCCCCAGGCTGCCGCCATTTTGTTCCCGAGTTGATTTGTTTACGTTTTTCGTTTGCCCGTGTTTCCTATGTATTTTTTTATTTTCGCCTTGAATTTTAAGGATTTTTGTGTAATATATGGTTGAAAAAAAGTAAAATAATTGGATTGGATAATTTATTATACATTTCATAATTATTTATTGTAAATCTTTTAAATTTATAATATAGTGAGTATTGTGCCCCTTGCCTGATATAGACTTCTATTTATACTGGTAAATATTACATTTATGTCCTATTTATGCATGAAAAATTAAACCATGTGTGCTGTGTGCTTCTGCCTAAGAATTTTCTACAAAGTCAATTCACAGATTCTTTTCAAATTTCAAAGGATTATTTGTATTATTCAGAATAGATGATGAAAATTAGGTAATAAACTACTATTACTGTGACAACAATGCCTCAATTATCAAGATTTATCGTTTTCTGATTTTTTTTTTGGCCGTGGCTAAAGTAACAGAGGTGTTACTATAATTATTTTTTTAAAGTAACATCAGTTCATTGACGTCACTGATGACAATGTTACTTTTAATAGGGGTTATAGTAGTAACAGAGATATTACTTTATTTTCTTGAAGTAACGTCAATATAGCAATATGTAGACAGGTACTTTCTTTAGCAATTTAAAGTAAAGGTGATATTCAACAACATAACAATAATCTTTTATTTTTTATGAACCAAAACTTTGAATCAATATATTGATAATATAAATCTTTTGAGAGAAAAAAGGCGTCTCCATATTCCTATTCCTCACATGCCCTTAGCCAATAGTTATTTATAAACCAAAGAGAGGGGAATGTAGGTATAGTTCTCTCCTGCAGGTGAAATTCGATTAATTACCAAAGGGAGAAACGGAACTTCACTACTCCAAGGGAATATACCTACTTAAGTATATGATTTTTCTTACGACAAGATAATAGGTATTAATAATCTATACCTAATACCTCCATTACACATGAGGAGATATAGGATACCTATCATTTTAATTTTTTTTATTAGTGTGCAAAGCAAAGTGAAAATCAGTTTTCCATTTTTAATCAATAGAGGTATAAAATAATGGTCATCAACTTCAAGGAATTTTTTTTCAGCAAATAAAGGTAAGAAAAAAAAAATAGGTAATTTATTCCTTTGGAGCTAAAACTATGATCTACAGCGAAAAACTTCTGCCTAGGAAGGAACATAATTTACTTTCCTCCCTAGGGAGGGGAAATTACTATTTTCCTCCCTGAAAAGAAGATAAAAAATTGTCACTTTCTGATAGGGTCATAGGAAAATGTGTCTTTCCTGCCTCCCTGTTTCATAAGTATTCTATTCTATGCTTCAAGTCAGGTTATTTTTTATATATTTCCATTTTCACTCTAAAACAAATGAATGCCAAGAACCAAGAATATCACCTTCACTTTAAATTGCTAAAGAAAGTACCTATCTAAGTACATATTGCTATATTGATGTTATTTCAAGAAAATAATTAGAATAACACCTCTGTTACTATAACTCCTATTAAAAGTAACGTTATCATCAGTGACATCATTGAACTGATGTTACTTTAAAAAAATAATTATAGTAACACCTCTGTTACTTTAGCCACGGCCTTTATTTTATGCTTATGACATTGTATAAACGCCTCCTAAAATTGTGATTATGATTAAGACTAAGACTAAGACTATGATGATTATGATTACGACTATGCAAATGTTGTATAAACCAGCCATAACTGGTCATTTACTAGGAATTTATACAAACCACCTTAAAAATGGCTAAATCTTAAAAAAAGTGAAACAATATAGTATTTTATCTTAACAGAAGTATAAAATAATAAACAAATTTTCCAATGGTCCTGTGGGTTCTTTTTTAAAATCAAAACATAAATTTTGACGTTTATTTATATATCAGTATTACCTAAAGTGGTCATTAAAAATTTTCAAAACAAAATTGCCATCAGGAATAACAATTAATTTAATACAAATTAAAAGCCTTCAGCTTAAATAAAAAAGCACTAAGACGTTGTGACATTGAAGACATCCATTCTCTTTTCGATTTCAAGATCAATTAGCCAAAACTATGCAGTACCGAGAACAAAGAACCTTCGATTTTTTTTTTGGTACTCGAGTACCATTTTAAACAATAACAATTAAATCGATAAACAATACGCAATAATTATAAACAAAGCAAAACTTACGTGGTGTCCTGGTTGAAATTTACAAAATAATTTTTGGCCCCATTGGTGTCTGAGGAACTTGCGCCACTCATTAGTCTGCTTATTTGTTTTTTCGAGCCCCTTAAACTAACCCAAACAATCACAATCACTCTTTCGATCTAATTAAATACGCAAAAGAATTAATTTTCGCAATTAAGCAAAAATATAAATATTATTTGTCGTTTTTTTTTTATCAATCAAAATTCCATATTGAATTTGGAACAGCCACAGGAACAGCTGATAATTACCTTGGATTGTGTAGTGGGCATGCGCTAAAGAAAATTAGGGCGTTTATTATTCTGTCTCTTTTTCTCAGCCTGTGAAAGAAAGAGACAAAAATACTTTACTTCCAATCAGAATAGCTATTTAAAAAAAAGTACGTCGGTTGAATGCAAATAAATTAACACTCTAGAACACCATAACCTCAAATATTTTTCATTTTAAATTTCCTTTTCCTGCTGAAGTTTTTTTGTATTTTATTTAAAATTAAAAAGTAGCTCCTCAAATGGCGAGGCAAAGCTTTTTTTTCAAGGCTTGCTCCCTATTCAACGGCAACTCGAAATTGGCCTTCCACAATGGGTAAAAATACCAATCAAAAATGCATGCTGATTTGTTTACTTACCATTTTTTTTTTCTCCAATAATGTAGATTTCCTCAAGCTAGTTTCCTAGTGCCTTGTATGGGGCTAAAAACCAAAGCCCCAAACGAAAGCCTCAAAATCCCGGAAAAACCCAAAAAACCATTGACCAGCTATTTTCGCTTCCTCATAGAAAAGCGCCCCATTGTAACCAAAGAAAACCCATCCCTAGACAACAAGGGCATAGTGAAAACAATAGGCGAACATTGGAAATCCCTAGCTCCTGAACAAAAGGCCAAATACGAAATTGAGTTTTCAATAGACAAAGAACAATACGATAAGGAATTGTTAAGCTACAACAACAAACTAACACCTGAGCTAGAGGCAATAATCAACCAAATAAAAGCAGACAAAAAAACCCAAAAAAAAGAAACGCAAAATTAAACAAGAAAGCAAAGACCAAAACAAACCAAAGAGACCAATGAGCTCTTTTACCCTTTTCATGAAAGAAAACCACAACAATGACAAATCCTTGATTGAAAATGTAAGGCACCTCAGAGACAAATGGGCCCAACTGTCTGAAGTAGAAAAAGAAAAATACAGAATGATATCCCAAAGGAACATGGAACAATACAAAGTTGAAATGGCCAAATGGGAAGCTCAAATGATTGCAGAAGGCAAACCCCATCTTGTTAGATCTAAAACCCTTAAGCCTAAAAAGGGCAAATCTGAATAGGGTTACGCGTGTCTTCACAATGCCTCTCCAAGTGAAGGCACAGACCTAGACCTAGATGAAGATTCTAATTTGAAAAATCGGACACGAGAGGCAAACAATAGAGGTATAATTGATAAATTTAAAAGTTTGTTTAAGTTCTAATAATATTAGTTTTAAGATTTTGATTTTATTACAATAAATAATTTGTACTTTTATTAACAAATCCCAATGTATACAATGTAATTACAAATACGAAAAAATATAGTAAAACATCTTTGAAAATTGTCTTAAAGATTACTAAATATTTCAACATCCAGCCGAATTTGTTTTGATTTACCAATAACATAAGGATGTTTTGATTTGCTACATTACTATCTTTGTTGTAAATTATATCTATTGCTTCGAAACATAAAAGTGGAATAAATATTTTATTTACATAATTACTATCGAATATTGTTATTAAGACATTTACAAAAATTGCTAGAAAAATCACAATTAAAGTCCTATGTGTTTTTAAATAATTTAAACTAGTATTATCGTTTTCTCTTATTATAATATTATTGGAATTATTATTTCGAATTATTGGTATTTGAAGATCAATTTGTGGTTCTTCAAGTTCAAGAGTGTCTTGAGGTTGATAGCCTGGAAAAAAAATTACCAATATAAAACTAGAAATTATTTAAAAACGTGGAATTAATTACCTTCTAAGTTGTAATTGCCATTTCTCTGTTCGACTCCGGTGATTTTTTGCAATCGTTTTCCAGAGTTTTCCAGGATTCTTCGCCTTCTTGCTTCTCTTCTAGCCTCAATATCAGACATATTATTTTAATTGTTTGAGGATTATTAAAGAAAATATTCAAATAAATAAATAATTAATAATTAAGTGTGACAATCAGCTGATTGAGATTCATTCATATTGACAATTGTATAAATGAATCTGAATCAGCTGATAGATGGCGTTACGTTTGGGATCGATAAACAACTTTTGACTAGGGATGAGAGTTTTTGCAAAATATCGATATCGATAAATCAAATTAAGAGATATTTTCATTATCCTAGGTACTTTCTTGGTTTTCTTTTAACTTCCTTTTACTTTTTGAGAGTTAGTAGTAGTAGTTTGTATAGGAATTCCTTCAAATATTTGTTAATCCATCATTATTTTCTTTAATCAGAATTTGCTCCGGATTTTTTCAGAATTGCATAATTAGAACTTCATTGTATGCTCTAAAAATTCACCTCCCATTTTTTGCATAAATAGAAAGTTTCACTACTCTAAGGCCCGGTTTATTCAACTACAGATAAACTTACTGATAACAGTGATAACTATCTACTAAATTATAGGGTGACACCAGTGGCGTAAACTCGATCGACCTACGGATGGAGAACCATACGAAAATATATAAAACTTATATTTAGTATGGTATAACTATTCAAAAATTGTAGGTAGGTACAGGGTGTTTTTTTATACAGTGTGTATCAGCCAAATGGAATAAATTCAATAATAAATAAATGGGAAACTTTTCGAAAAAACGCTCGAACACGTCAATTTTGTTTTTTTGCTTGAGATTTTTTCACACCAATTTTTTTATACAGGATCAGGGCCGGCCCTACCATAAGGCGAACTGAGCGAGCGCTCCAGGCGCCAGACCTCGGGGGGCGTCGGGCGTCTTCGACTCGTTCCTTGGTAATAAAAAAAAAAGGGAAAAGTATATTTTCGCTTTGAATTCTGTCTCTGTTTTTCGATATTTTGCTTCTCTACTTGTGCTTACTTAAGCCTAGTACTCATAACTGCGAAATTCGCACTTTTTTGATACTGCTTCGGCAATTTGACGTTTGATTCACGCATAAAACGTCAAATTGTCGGAGCAATGTCAAAAAGGTGCGAATTTCGCAGGCTTTAATATGAGAATAACCTGTCCTGACGTTTTTTTGAGACGCGCACGGATCGTGGGTGTGGTGGCGCCCTTACCCGATCATTTGATCATGATATTTTGGATAGTGATAACAGTCACCCGAAAGCAGTCCTTCAGGCGTTAGCCTTTAATAATTGGCAAGATACGTTTCCTTATATCTGGACAGCTCTCCGTATTTTTGTTACCATTCCTGTTACAGTGCCGAAAGGTGAACGGAGCTTTAGTAAGCTTAAGTTAAATAAAACTTACCTTAGCGATCAACTCTAGCAGAAGAGAAACCTTTAGATCTAGCCCTGCTGTCCATTGAAAATGTTATAGCTTAGATATTGTGTTCCCGTGCCGTGGCACGGGAAGTCTGGGTCCACTGCTCAGTGGGTCGATTCCCAAACAGGACCGTTGTGTTCCTGTATTCACGTTGGTCATTACCTGAAAAAATCTCTCTAACAATTTTCATTGCCAACGAAAGCTCAGACCAATCAGTGTAGTTCAACGCCGGTAGGGGTATTTGCCCTCGGAGTAGTTGTTTCTGACTGGTCAACGAAGTTCACTTATCGTAATAGTTTGTGGAAACGGCCATTAGGGCCGGTTTATTCACCTCCTGATAAACTGTCAGGTATGCAATCTGACCGATAAAGATGCAATCTCTAATTCCATTGGTTGTTTATCTGAATATAAATAAACCGGGCCTAATAAATATAAAAATCGAACGAACAAAATACGGAATTTTCGTGCCACGGCACGGGAAGTCTGGGTCCACTGCTCAGTGGGTCGATTCCCAAACAGGACCGTTGTGTTCCTGTATTCACGTTGGTCATTACCTGAAAAAATCTCTCTAACTATTACGATAAGTATTTCCTAAACTGACATTTCTCCATGGAAAACTGTCAGTCTAGGAAATACTTATCGTTTAAGGCTTCCCGAAAATAACTATAGTTGGTGGAAATGGCCATAAGTGTTATAAGTGATATTACCAAAATGGATTATTGATTGATCTCATCAAATAGGGTTTCCATAAAGAAAGGTTTTTCGGAATTCAGGGCAAAGGAGTCAAGAAATCCGGACAAAATCCGGACTTCGCCGAAATAGCTATTTATGCAACAAGTGTGTAAAGTGAAAGGCGAGTGCGACAAAATTTACATTCATGAAAAAAGGTTCACTTTACACACGTATTGCATATATAAAAAAAATTCTACTATCAATAAAATATATGTGTAAAAAAATAAATTCACCAGTGCATAAAGTGAAGAATTTGAATTTACTAGAAAAAAATGACTATGTCCACATCTGTCATTACTGCCCGCACGCACTAGTGTGTAAAGTGAATACTTTACGTACTCATGATGAGTGAAGTAAAATTTTACTGTCTTTTAAATAGTGCGCTAACCGAGTGAGTATAAATGTTTTCACGATCTATGAGTTTTCCGGACATTGTTCCGAATTCCGGCCGGACTTCCCCGGACACGTACCCTAAAAACCCAAACATGTCCGGGTAAATCCGGACGTATGGAAACCCTATCAACAAAGAATGTGAACTAAGTGTCAGTAGGTAAATAAGAGAACTTTGTACCAACGAACAGAAATGTTTTGAATTTTCAATTGGTAAGATATATAGAGACATTGAGCTTTTGTTTGTTCCAACCCAGTAGGAAACCGTAATATTATCGTCAGGATTCTGCGCAAAACCTAAAATTTTTGCATAGAAACCGAAATTCGTATACAGAGTGGTTCCGAAACCGTTCCGGGCCGGTATTCTCGTTTTTGAAAACGCTCACCGCTTTTAAGTCTCAGCAGTCAGCACTTCTAATGTGAATTTACATTAAAAGTGCTGAGCGACTAAAAAACGGTAAGCGTTTTCGAGAACCAGAATACCGGCCCTGGGCCCAGTCTATAATTCTATTGGTCAGTGGATAATTTGGAGCCAATCAAAAATTGGAAATCAGTGATGTGCCTGTAGACAATGTCAACGTAAACAATTGATTGTCTACGCGTAGACAATTCGAATTATTTACGTGAGCATTTGTCTACACATTGTCTACATGCGACGTAAACAATAACTTATTTTAAAAAATTCAAAAAAGAATATCAAAAGCTACTATACTATCACTATTACTTCGATATTAGCATTCACTGATTATAAAATATCAGAAAAACCAATAATAAAATAAAAATAATTAAAAAAAAGGAAAGTGTGAGGTTAGAATTAAACGTCATTTATATTATTCTACATTGTTGACACGTTGTCTACATTGTCTACATTATCTACACGTAAAGTAGACAATGAAAGTCTACGTGTAGACGCACATCCCTGTTGGAAATATCCAAAATGTGATTTTTAGTTGATATTCCGGAATTCAGTTCTCTCCAATGTCAGGGCCGGTTTTAGCTCTTTGGCCATCCTCGTGCAAGACCTTGTTTTGCCGCCCCCCCATGAGAAACTTTTTGCTTCGGGGGAAGGGAATTTTTCATAATATTCTATTTCTAGATTTGAAAAAAAAACATATGGCAACATTGCTCATGATACAACAAACGTCAAAAAATTGAAATTTCAAAGTAAGCCTTGTTTTTTTTGACAATAGACCTATCTCCTATTACCTGGACTGCGCACGTCGCTTGTAGGTGAGCGTCCAATGAGATGCAAGTTTGTGACAGGCTTGCGTCATATTCTTATTCAGGAACCAGTTCGGAATGAATCGTTCCTTCTTTCTTTGTAACGTGTAATTTGACAAAGAGCAAACTGATACTTTACATATTACTTGAACTCACCGCAGTTTCGCTTAAGGTTATGTTATGGCGTTTCCGATTGATAAATTCAGTGCGCACTGAGTGTATTTGCATCCTTTTAATCGACCTGTAGAAGAAAAAGACAGAAATAGAAAAAATTGCACTAGTTCCGCACTAAATCTACCAATCGGAAACGCCATTAGATTATACTTGACATATTCCTTTGCAATTTCATTGAGCGATGTTGCCGGATGAAACATTTATCAAAATAAAAGTGCAAATGATGTTCATCCACTTTAAAGCTCTTCTTTTGTCTGATTTAAGGCGTTGTAAAACACTTTGACACTATATCACTTCTTTCATGTTATAATATTCGATTTGTTGTGT